CATCAAACTGCTGAGTCCCTGGGGTGTTCTGTCTGAGGTGAAATCTCTCCCACTGTGCCATTCCGCAGCAACAGAATCACTCAGCAGCGATTGCTGCATTGCAATGTGTCTCCATGCAACACAAACCTATTTCATGGGACCAGTGCCTGCTGAAGAAAGACATATCAGAGGTGTCGGGCAAGAGAAGAGAGAAAATAATAAATGGGCTGAAGCAAGAGGGAGGAAATGGGACAAGACTGAGAAGTGAATGCAAAGCAAAGTTAATGAGGAGAAAGCAAGAAAAGAGTGCAAGAGAAACAGAGTTCTGAAAAAGCATTCACCTGGTGTCTTTGAATTGTCATCCCTTATTACCTGTTTTCAGTAGAAATTCCTCACTGTCCCCAGTTTCAGCACCTATTTGTATTATCCCATACCAGCCCACAGAGACATTGGTTAGCATTCCTTCACAAAGTACACTTTGAGCAGCATTGTCAAAACACTAAAGTGACTTGAAGATCTGAAATCTCACTTCCAATAGCAATTCAAACATTTAATTTCTTAAATTCTGCTGCCATTCACTGGGACTTGGCCTCCATACCCTCTTTGGAAATGAGGGTGGAAATTATTTCTTTTCTTAAAATTACCCTTTTTCATCTAATTAGGAATTTCAGTGTATTCAGTTTTCCTGTATAGATTATTTTTTTCCCTGGTAGATTGCTTTTGTTGTTTCCCAAGCTATTATCTATGTTGTGGATATGAACTTATTTCCCCTTGCCTTATTCTTTTCTTGCTCAGTTCTGAAGCAAAACCATGACCTTGGGTCTGAGACCATTAGCAGCCATTCTGTGATGGATATGTCTCCAAACAGTATGAGATTTAGATAATCAAATAGGATTCATATATTTATCTCCAGGTAAGGCTGGATTTTCTTGAAGGGTTTCTATATTTCTCCCTCTAATCCCTGGGGAAGGTAAAATGGAAAAAAAGTACAAATGGAAAGAAATCGCATAAAGTAAGCAAAACTGTGACTGAACTCTGGGGACCCTGGGTCCTGGTGTCCAGCACACCACGTCCCTGCTGTCTCAGCTCAACTGTCAGAGGCACAGCTCAGGTCTGCAGAACAGTCACAGCTCTCCGTAAAGTCACGTCCAGGGTATTTGAGTTGTCATGGTATCATTTTTTGCCCCATTCCTGGTTATATCCGTGAGTGCTGCCTCACATCCTTGACAGCGACACTCCTTTCTTAGGTCTTTGCAGAAGCTCTGCTTCAGGGAGAGGCACTATCTGATCTGTAAACAGTGGTTCTGAGACAGACCCACATCATTTTTCCCATTCATACCCTTCCCATTTTTCCTTGCTGCCTATTGCAGCACCTTGTTACCTTCAGCCTCTCTGGTCTTTCTTATCTTGTTCTCCACTTCTCTGCTGTTCAGGTCAGTCTTCTGGCTACCATTTCCACACCTTATACTGTGTTGTTTCTCTCATCTTCTGGTCTAACAGTTACTCCTTTTGTTAGCAGTGCTCAGCTCTCTTTCCTCTGAGCACTTTAAACTGCAGAAAGTCAAAAAAGATTCATGCAGTCTCATATAAACCTCCTGGCAGGTCTAGCAGGAAGCAAAGCTATAATGACACACTGCAGTGCGGCCCTCCCACTTGGGATGATTATTGAGTGAGGCTGATCAGTGGCTCCACCAAATAACTTACAGAAATAGTTCTAGCTTTCAACAGATTTTCTTTGAAGTTCGTAAAAACCTGATACATCAGTATTGACTGCTCCAAAATCATGAGAACCAATTTTGCTCCCTGTTTGAGAATTATCAGTGGAGTATCCTTTTATAATACCCTTTATGTAATAGATGTAATGAAAATGTTTTTGAATGAGAAATGCAGAAGACCCGTGAGTGGATAATCAGCAGATGTAACCTGAACTGCCAATCTGTGTGTTTGATTAAGAAGTAAATCAGATCCATCTGAACAGGAATTGTTTTAGTAAGCATGAAAAGTGGTGTATTGTGAGGGTAGTTTGATGGGGTGACCTTACAACACCAGAGAAGTGGGAGTATATGTCTAACAATAGGAAAACGTACATCAGTAAGCAATAGCAAGGCTGAACTGAACAGAAAATGGAATCTATACCTAGTGTACACACATACAAGAATTATATTATATATAGAATTTATGTGTATGTTCTATTATTTCTTCATAAGCAAATTACACTAACACAGTCATTGCATATGGTAGCAGAGACCCCTCAAAAGTAGGAAGGTGGAATGAGAACGGGAAAAGTGATTTTTCCTTGCTGAAGATTTTAGTTCTCTGAAGCTCCCAGAGTTTGAGACTGAACAAAGCCTCAATAATGCCATGCTGATTTGCAGATGTCGTGTACCCCAGTCATATATGCCTTGTGATATTCTTTGAGAAGTACATGGCTCAAAGGCGCATTTCACAGCTCCTTGCTCTTAGTCACTCACACTATAAGCCTGTGACTTCAAAGGGACATCTGAAAGGAAATGTTTGGAGGAAAAAAAAGAGAAAAAAGAAAGAGAAAGATTGTCTGCCTGTCCTTTTTTTTTTTTTTTTTTTTTTTCCTGCTTATGATATAACAGGTTTAAGATACTTTGGAATAACTGCTTCTCAGTAGGTTAGTTTTAGTTCTTACTTTACAAAGACCATAAAAAATTTGGCAGTAAGAAAACAGCTGTGTGATCCCAATCCAGATGCTGTTATCTTAGCGTGGGCTTGTCAAACAGCAAGCAAGCAACTTTCCATCTCTGAGCAGGCTCCTTGTGTCAAGCTGGAATGATGTCCAAGATGGTTACCCTCAGACTTTCTCATAACAGGACTTGCAGTTGTAGCACAAACAAAAGCAGGTAGTGCTCCTTGCTGCATATCCAGTCATAAAGTAAATAAGAAAACCTCAGGGTTGGCAGTGCCTTTTCGGGCTTTAGGCAACATCACTAAGATAACATTTTCTCTTGTTTCTGAGTGTAAATGACGTTCAGTTCTAAATTCAGTCCATTTTATGGTTCTAAACATGTTACCCATAACATCATGAAGTCTTGAATGGCTTTTATGAAGTATCTACAGTGTAATTTCTGGGGCTAAGGGATAAAACACTATGTAAATTAGGATTAAAATTGTTTTTTGGGGTTTGGGTTTTTTTTTTTTTTACATTTTTAATGAGTGACTATCGATCTTTTTGTTTTAGTATGTGACATGCAATGCACTCACATTTGATGTCTGATGCACTGAATGGCACTGAATAGTTAAAGTGCAGACATTCTTGTTTGCAGGAAAACATAAGGGAGGGATTTACTGTCAGGTTAATGTTTAACCTCTTAATCTTTCTAATATTATGCCTGGAAAATGCCCTTTAAATTTAATTATCCACTTCTTTATATTTACGACTTTGCAAATGAGCATTTAAAAATGTCAGTCATCTCTGTTTGAAGAAATCTATAACAATTTTATATCAATTTATAGTGATGCTGGTTATTCTAAACAAATGCCACCAAACACACCATACCACTGACAGCATCATTTATTCTCCTCTTAACTGTCTGAGATTTGCATATCTCAGACCATGCAATTTAAGGCACAGTGTGCTTTTTCCTTTACTCCACCAGATATTAGAAACATTTCAAATCTGATTAGATTATGGCTCTACATCTAAATGAAAAGACTTCTGGTAATCCGTATAGTAAAAATCTCAGTAACTAACTGGGGATGTGTCACATTGTTCTGAGAAGAGATTAAACTGTGAAGTTTAACCATGCCAAGTGCAAGGTCCTACACCTGGGTAGCAGCAATGCCAGGCACAGCTACAGGTTGGGCAGAGAAGAGATTCAGAGCAGCCTTGCAGAGGAGGACTTGGTGGTGTTGGTCACTGAACATGAGCTGGTTGATGAGAAACCGAACATGAGCCAGCAGTGTGTGTTTGCAGCCCAGAAAGCCAACCGTATCCTGGGCTGCATCAAAAGGAGCGTGACCAGCAGGTCAAAGAAGGTGATCCTGCCCCTCTACTTTGCTCTCGTGAGACCTCAGCTTGGAGTACTGTGTACAGTTCTGTTGTCCTCAACATAAAAAGGACATGGATCTGTTGGAATGAGTCCAGAGGAGGGCCACGAGGATGATAAGGGTACTGGAGCACCTCCCATATGAAGATTGGCTAAGAAAGTGGGAATGTTCAGCCTGGAGAAGAGAAGGCTGTGTGAAGACCTCATAGCAGCCTTCCAGTATCTGAAGGGGGCCTATAAGGATGTTGGTGAGAGATTCTTCATTAGGGACTATAGTGATAAGACAAGGAGTGATGGGTTCAGACTTAAAGAGGGGAAGTTTAGGTTAGGTATAAGAAGGAAGTTCTTTACTTTGAGGGTGGTGAGGCACTGGAATGGGTTGCCCAAGGAAGTTGTGAATGCTGCATCCCTGGCGGTGTTCAAGGTTTGGTTCGACACAGACGTGGGTGACATGGTTTAGTGTAAGATGTCCCTGCCCATGGCAGGGGGGTTGGAACTAGATGATCTTAAGGTCCTTTCCAACATTAACTATTCTATTATTCTATGATTCTTCCAAAACAAGGTCTAGATATTTATGTTTTGACAAACAGAAAATTAATCTCAGGAATTAATTTAGTATGGATTCTATGTAGGATACAAACTATATCAGTATAGTATCTATACTTCCATATCATTTTCTCAAACATTTGCAAGAGCAGGCACCAAATTTTTTTATTTGTTTCAGGAAGGAACTGTGGGGTTCTGCTGTTTTTAAAAAGGGTTGCCACTGTGACTGTTACATCATTATACAGGAGTGAGAGGCTCCATGAGGGCCTGGAAACTCTCTGGTGAGACAGAAAGGAAGGGGAAGAGTGGTACCATCACTGTTTCATCTACATCAACAATATTGCTTATGTTTCTAAGACCCGACACAAGGGATGTCTGTTATCCACACAGGCTGGAAACAGGCAAGGGTCAAAAATAGTGCAAAGGATGTGGAAAAACACAGGACAACTCCTTACTTACATCTTACACAGAAGTGTATTAATTCTTTCTTCCATTACCTCCAATGTAGGTATTGCAAATTCAGAATCCATTTAGATCAAAGGTAACACATTTGAATTGCATGATTTGTGAAAAGTAGATCAAGCACGCAAAAAATTACATTCCCAAATAATATAATTATATCAGATAATAAGACAAATGTCTTTCCTAGCTACTCATGCTAGGAGTAGCACCTTCTGATGTACTTAATTCATGCCCCATACTTGAGCACAGTCTTTTTATAATGGGACATAGCTACATAGTTCATGCTTATTTTCAACTGTCAATTTGATAGAGAAATTGAAAGAAATGAACTATTACATCTTTTCTGGGACAACGTCTTCTTGCTGCCTTGTAGTCTTCACAGGTGAAGGGGGTCTGTTGCTTTACATTAATGGACTGATTTAGAACTCCAGATAGCAAGAAACTGATGCAATTTACCTTGAACTAATCTGAGCCAATATGCCTTAAACACCCATGTAAATACACATGGACATCAAACACAGATAGAAATTTGAGTTTCAGGCATTCCATTCTAGAAAATTTGTCATGAACAAGCTGCACATAGCTTGTGATACCTTCCATTTTTTTCAATACTAGGAAACAGGGTGATGTTAAAGAATTAAGTAAATAGTGATCCAGACTATTCTAATGCAAAGACTGTACTATATTTGGCTGAGAATAAAAATAATGTAGTAAAAAGAAGGAAAGCTCATAGCTTTCATACTTTCTCTTTTGCAATCTTGTGATGCACGTTGTGCTTCTGTAGTCAGAAAGTGGTTTGATCTGCCTGTTTGCTGCAGTCAGTATTAAAATACAGAGTGAACCTGGGTAAGTGAGCCAAAAGGTTTTTTTCTGAAAGGCTGTATACAGGAAGGCATGAAAGGTGTTCAATTTTTTCTCTTTCTGAGAAGAAAGTTCATTAGAACTTTAATTAGAATTTTATTTTCAAGAGAAAGTTGTGTAGAGACTTACAAGCAAACTGGCAGTGGTAGTTATTATTAATGGGGAATGCCAAAAAGTTTAATGCTTCACTTTAGAAAAGTAATTGATTGCTATGACATTCTTAAGGCTATGAGATCAAGATTGCTCATGAGAATATGACATTTCTTGTTCCTGGAGAGCCAAGACACACAGTTTGGAGCTTTCTCTTTAGAGCCCAAGAAAAGGACTGTGGAAAGCCTCTTGGGAAAAAAAGTAAATGAAAGCTCTCTCCAGCCTCAAAAGAACACCTGAGTAAGAGCTTGCCACGAATAAAGTATGCTTGTCTCTCCTTACCCACACAGTATCACAGTATCACAGTATGCTAGAGATTGGAAGGGACCTCAAAAGGTCATCTAGTCCAATACCCCTGCCGGAGCAGGAACACCTAGATAAGGTTACACAGGAACGTGTCCAGGAGGGTTTTGAATGTCTCCAGAGAAGGAGACTCCCCAACCTCCCTGGGCAGCCTGTTCCAGTGTTCTGTCACCCTCACTGAGAAGAAGTTTCTTCTCAAGTTTAAGTGAAACTTCTTGTGTTCCAGTTTGTACCCATTGCCCCTTGTCCTATCATTGTTTGCCACTGAGAAAAGCCTGGCTCCATCCTCGTGAACAACACAGGTTGAAACAAGTGTTGAGGCTTAAGAATTGTTTTGAATTCTTGTGATTTTTTTCTCTAAATACCTTTGTCAGCTATGAGAGAATCAGCCCACATGATTTTGCCTCACCAACGAGTAGTTAACACTGTTCTGACTCTAATGGGCTATTTCCTTCAGAGTGAGAAACTGGTGACACAAAGCAACTACTTATTACTGAAATTTCCTTATTTACAGGAGTCCTTTCTGCTTCTCTTGGAGGGCTGAGCCCTACCAAAGTCTGTCCCTGGCAGGCATGCCACAGGGGCCTTGGTGACTCAGAAGCCTTCTCCTTGATTTCCATAAAAATCACACTGAAGTGACATCCATCTCCCCCACCTCCAGCCCAGGCGGAGCCTCCCATCACCAGCTGAGCTCTGGGGAGAGCTGGGAACTGCAGATATCAAAGTGCTTCACATCTTGTATTTTCTCCTTGTATACTCTGTAACTCGGAGAGCTGGGGAAGGACTTCACTAACCAAATAGGCTGCTCTGCCCTACCCATTGAGCTTAAAAGCTTATGTCTCATCTACCTTGACATTAGCATGGTGGTTGTTTGGGGACATCGGGCATCTTTGTCCATCTTTGGGGACAATGGTCATCTGCTGGCAAACGGTTTCCTTTAGGAACTGCTACCTCTTGATGCATTAATTTGAACTAAGCATAGAATGGTGACCCACCATACAGTTTCACTGAATATAGGAATGTATTTCAGCTAGGATTTTTCCTAGAGCACCTGGGCAGTGTCCAGCACAGCAGATTCCTTACCCTGTCTGAAGCTTTCAGCTGTAACTAGGGTGTCAATTAGGGAATATTTATGTTCATAACAGGCAAATCCTAAACACATAGCAAAGGTAAATGGAGAGGTATTCTGGTCTCAAGATCAGAACTGCAAATGTACTTCTCCCAAAGTAAGTTTAATTGCAGTTCTTGGAAGTATCTGTTACCTCTTTATTCGGTACTTTTGACAGAGTAGACTTTGTTATTTGTACAGTCTTGCTTAGGTTATTACTAACATTGGGCAACAGTTGCTCTCCAAGATTTTCCTCACTTCCTATTTTCACTGTGGCAAACATATTGGCTGGACAGAATAGGCAAATTTAAATAGGCACCTGTGAGGAACTTTCAGTATAACGCAACCAGCACAGCCAGAGAAACAGCACAGACTTTTTCCTGCTACTTTGAGAACATTCAGAAGATACCTCTGCACTTTTTCTCTCACAGGATGCATGTAGGAAGTCTGTGAATATAAAGCTAATGCATGCTTGTGTTAGATATCTCTGGCATATGCTCTTTCACACAGCAGGAACGCTGTCTTGCACATTGCATATCCAATCTTGCTCAGCTCAGCTGACACCATCCTTATTCAGTATTGTTTCCTTCCTTTTAAGGAAGGGACTTGTGTGCTTTCCTTCCTTTACTCCTTTTACAGCCTGGACCCTAAAGCTTTATCCCTACTGTGTTGTCTCAGTTATCTCCTTTTGTCTTCCTATTTTTATTCAGGGACTTGTTATATCACAAACAGTGACAGTAGCTACTCCAGAAAATACAAAAGGTGTTAAGGGCTAATCGCTATTCAAACAACTATTTTTCCCATTTCGTTCAAAAGAATCTGTCTGCAACAGATAGAAAATCAATGCCTGCAGAGCATAATCTCTCTTTCTCTGTGTATGTATATATGGAATACATATTTATGTTCTGCTGTAGTTTTATTTCCTGTTATTTTTTGTTCTTTATTGATATATTTCTTGATGTAGCTGATCTGCATTGCATTTTCTCCTGTTCATCTGTCTTCTTATCACAGTGTACACAAGCGGTTTGGACAGAACTGTGAGTGTCAGACAAAAGACGGTAAATCCAGAGTAATTCAAACTATATGGGCTAATCAACAATAAGCAGTGTTTCTGTCAGCACACAGCCTTTGAATGTGCAGTGTCTCTGATGTGTCTTCCTATATACTGTTTGGTTTTGAGATTCACAGAATTAATCTGAGCTCCCTCCGCAGCTAATAAAACTACCTACTCATTACAAAAATGCACAGATAATATTTGCTTGTGTAGATTCACTTCATCTGCTCTGCAAACTTTCTACTTTTGTGCAGGTTTATATTCTTAAAAATGAATTAAATATCAGGTTGCTCATGAAAACAGCCACTGGGAGGATACTGCAGATATTTCATGAAGTGGGTTGTGAATTTTCACATATCGACATCAGCAGTGGAAGCCTGACTTGTAGAACACTGAAAGCGGAGGTCTACCATACAAGCCACATTACTCATCCAAACGTGAAGTTCAGAGTCTGAAACCCCATGGTAATTTGCTCTGAAAAAAAATAATAATCAGTAGGTCAAAAGCCTTGTGTATGGCAAAACTTCTGTTGCTTTTGGTAGGTTCAGGACAAACCAGGGAAAAAAGGGAAAACCAGGATTGGTGTCTGAGGACTAGCCCAACTTCATTGTTTTATTGGACATAGAACTATATTCTTCTGTTCCCTGCTGTAAACTGTCCTGGGATCACGCTTGCTGTTCGTCACCTGGGAGAAAACTCTTGTCTCCAGTGCACTTTTGTAGCATTTTGCGTGCCCAGCCACACATTTCCTCCTTCTGAAGGACAGCGCTTTCCCTTTTTTTAGCACAGGGTCACGTGAAACTAACTTTGACTGTAGCCAGGCAGTTGGCAGACATAACTTATTGCAAAACAATTCTACAAAGTATAACACTGGACTCAGGATTGGTGCCTGATGTGCTTCTGAGTATCCCAGAGGTGTGGATGCAGTCTTCTTCACATACATTTTTTCCAGATGTATTTATTTTACAATAATTCCCCACTTTTAAGCATCTGCTGCAGTTTGCTCAACACATTGTGTTTATGGCTAAATGGATGTCTACGTATATAACCATTTTAAGTTCATAAAGTAACATTGAATCCTTAACTGATAAAAACACTTTGTAAATGACAGAGACTAGGAAAAGCACCTTAAAAAAAGATCATAATAATAGTCTCATGACCAGACACAAGCAGCAAAACAACTAAGGAATAAAATCTCATCTTTGTGATTCACCTGTTCTGTGGAGGAGCTGTGGATAACAGACATTTCATTATAAACTGGAAATTAAAACTGTGGAAATAGCTGCAGTGGGATGGGATGGAGGAGGTCCTGGCAAAGATGAGGTCATCATACTGCAAACAGAAGGAGGGGAAAGAAATAATATGACTGCCATAGGCAAGTGTTTCTCTGAATAAAACAAAAAGAATCCAAATCTTTACCATTTTTACTCATCTCTTGATGCTGAGTGAATAGACAGAAGAATAAATAAATATCAGGAAGCAAATTGAACTCCCCCACATTTGCTCTCCCACCTCCTAAAAAGGAGAACCTGTTCCCTGTAGTAGAAACATGAGCACTAGATTCAGACTTTTCTTTAGCAGCTTTATGCCACTCCTGTGGCGTAAGGTAATGGAAAAGCTTCCAGGCAACTGAGTTTTTCCCCCCTGCTGGAAAAACTCTGGGTGGCTTAGACTGAACATTTAAAAACACTTAAAAATGTGAATAACTTCAAGATACCACAGGTGGCCACATCTAATGGTTTAACACAAAGGGCACTGATTAAACTCTTTCCTGTGTAAAAGGAAAAGCAAAAAGCAATGCTATATATATATATATGTTTCCCTCTCAAGGAAATCAATGGGGGCTACACGAAATTTCTGAGAGAGCTGTTGGATGGAAGATTGGTTCTTTCAGTTCAGTTACTGAAACCATACAGAGTGGAAGAACCGATGCAATATTCCCAGGGGCAGCTGGGCTCTGCCTGCAAGACTGGGGATAAGAATCACCACTGGGAGATGCTGATTCTCAAATTGTATTCTGTCCTTATTCTCCCAAGTGTTACCACTGTGGTGGCAGTGGCTGTCATACAATGGACAGGGGCTTTGCATATCTCTTCATTTCACATCAGCCATGAGACAGAAGGTATGCCCAGGGAGGGTTGTGTCCAGCACATCAGAATCTTCTGTAATCTAGCAGAGATTTTGAATTAAAAAATGCTTTTATCCAGTAACTGATCCATCTTGGAAAGTAGTTTGACAAAAAGCCCTCTGTCCAATATCAGTCATAGAGTATATATTATTTGATAACCTGAAGTATGTGACCTGTGAGGGAAGTTTGAGAGAAAGGGTCTTCTCTAGCCTGAAGGAGAGATGTCTTTTGGACTACCTAATAGCAGCCTACCAATACCTGCCTACAGGGAAGCTACCGAGAAGGTGAAGCCAGTCTCTTTGTAGTGTTGTGTGGTGGGAGGATGAGAGAAAAAGACATAAGGTTTTGATGGGATTTAGGGAAAAATTCTTTCACCATGAGGACAGCAAAGCAGTGGACCAGTTGCCCAGAGACAGTGTACACACTCCATCCTTGGAGTTTTTCAAGACACAGTGTTTAAAACCATGAACAACCTGGTCTGAGCTTAATACTGACCCTGCTTTGAGTAGGAAGTTTGAGTAGAGACCTCCTGAGGTTCCTTTCATCTGAACTATACCATGCTTCTGTGCTTATATAATTCTAGCATATGCCATGAAATTCTCAGTCACTATGGACCAGGGAGGAAGAAACACATATACC